GGCGAAGGAGAGACTTACAGGCTAATGTTGCGTTGACTTTAATAATCATGGAAGGATGTCTTAAGAGGGAAGCTCATAGATTTAGTCTCAGATATTACTGTAGACTTACCAAGGAAAGAGGCTAGGGATAGCTCAGGGAGAAACAGAGTTTTAATTATTTAACAGATCATTAGATAATTGTGTACTGAGGGGCTGGGGATATATCAGTCAATTTTAACTGGTCCCTGGTTCTAGGACCTCTGATTCAAGTGGTATGTATCGGTTATATATGATAAACCATTCCTCTTCACTGTGGGAAGGGAAAGGTTGTCTTGGTTATCCTGTAACGAGCCAAACCAGGTTTCTTGGGGAGCTGGGTAGCAGAACACTAGGCTAGTGAGACTTGACATCAAATCATTTTATTAATGTTTTAAACAACAAGCAAACACTCAGCATTCTTCCATTCAGCTAACTGAAAAAGATGGACAGCTTGATGAGCACCCCCATAAGAAGTTATTATTAACTTGTTTGGGGCTAGTTTGGAATCATTAGCTTAACAGTTCTTTAGAGCAGTTGATAATGGATGTTTCTCACATACAAATGGCAGTTTGTGCTGAGAAATAAGCAGGAATTGAACTTTGGTAAGGAGAGTCCTGAAGTCAAGGAGGATGAAATAATTTGAGAGCAATCCTGAAAGTTAACTGCTTGGCTTCAGAGGTTATAAGCAGGTGGCTCCCAGGAGTTATGTCAAATGGCTAGGTATTTTTTTTTGTGAGGAAGATTGGCCCTGAGCTAACATCTACCAATCCTCCTCTTTTTGCTGAGGAAGACTGGCCCTGGGCTAACATCCATGCCCATCTTCCTCCACTTTATATGGGACGCCTGCCACAGCATGGCCTGACACGTGGTGCGTTGGTGTGCGCCCAGGATCAGAACTGGCGCACCCCGGGCTGCCGCAGTGGAGTGCGCACGCTTAACTGCTTGGGCCACTGGGCCAGCCCCTTAACTAGGTTTTATTGCCATTGTTTTTTTAATATTTTGAAAAACTTCAAACTTTAAAGAGTTGAAAGAATAGTATAATGAACACTCATACCTTTCACCTAGATTCACCAATTGTTACT